TTATTCTGGTGAAACTATTACTCTGGTATAATAAGGAACTAAATTTTAATTTTTTTTATAATCCACTAATTTTATGATAATGAACAGTGCAAAATGATAATTTAAACTCTTACTAATTATTAGGAATTATCATAAATTATGTTCAAGAAGCAGCGCTAAACTGGTAGGGTTTATATAGCGCCTGAGAAATTTTAGACAAATACGATCTAAGGATATAAAGGTAGCTCCAATTCCTCGGATCAAGAGGAGATGATCAAGACACTTCACTTGAAGGGACGATAAGAAGAAGCAAGAAGTTTCTAACACGTAAACCAAAACTAGTAGTAATAGTAGTAGTTAGTATTAATAGTAGTAATATTAATAGTAGTAGTAGTAATAGTAGTCAGTAGTAATAGTAATATTAATAGTAGTAGTATTAATAGTAATAGTAGTAGTAATAGTAGTAATAGTAGTTGTAGTAATAGTAGTAGTAATAGTAATAGTTGTAGTAATAGTTGTAGTAATAGTAGTTGTAGTAATAATAGTAATAGTAGTAGTAGTAATAGTAGTAACAGTAGTAGTAATAGTAATAGTAGTAGTAATAGTAGTAGTAGTAATAGTAGTATGTAAAGTAAAAGGACACAAGTGCAACTAATGTGACATTTTATTGTGGCAACGTTTCGCTCTCCAGGAGCTTCATCAAGCCATTACCATGGAGAGCGAAACGTTGCCACAATAAAATGTCACATTAGTTGCACTTGTGTCCTTTTACTTTACACATTGTCGGTAATTCTACCAACTTTATTACAGTAATAGTAGTAATAGTAGTAGTAATAGTAGTAATAGTAGTAGTAATGGTAGTAATAGTAGTAGTAATAGTAGTAATAGTAAGAGTAGCAGTAATAGTAAGAGGAGCAGTAGTAGAAATAGTAGTAATAGTAATAGTAGTAATAGTAGTAGTAATAGTAGTAGTAATAGCAGTAATAGTAGTAATAGTAGTAGTAATAGTAGTAATGGTAGTAGTAATAGTAGTAGTAATGGTAGTAGTAATAGTAGTAGAAATAGTAGTAATAGTAATAGTAATAGTAGTAATAGTAGTAATAGTAGTAGTAGTAATAGTAGTAGAAATAGTAGTAATAGTAATAGTAGTAATAGTAGTAATAGTAACAGTAGTAGTAATGGTAGTAGTAATAGTAATAGTAGTAGTAATAGTAATAGTAGTAGTAGTAATGGTAGTAGTAGTAATGGTAGTAGTAGTAGTAATGGTAGTAGTAGTAGTAATGGTAGTAGTAGTAATGTAGTAGTAGTAGTAGTAGTAGTAATTGTAGTAATAGTAATATTAATAGTAGTAGTAGTAGTAATAGTATTAGTAGTAGTAATAGTAATATTAATAGTAGTATTAATAGTGGCAGCCATAGTAGTTGAATTATTAGTATTAGTAATAATAATAGTAATATAATAATAGTAGTAATAATATTAGTTATCAGGAATAGTAGTAGTTGTATTAACAGCAACAGTAGTAGTAGTTAGTCGTAGTATTTTGGATTCACGTTTTTTTCAGTGGCAAAAATAAAATCGTCGTGTATAGAGGAGCTTGACAAGAGAATTTACTGCACGTACAAAGTATGAAATAAAAACCAATAATCCTAAACCAAGAGTAAGGTTAACGTAAAGTAAAATGGTTTTTAAAAAAAAATTCCAACTGCAAGAGGGAAGTTGGAATAAATACCCAATAAGTAATCTCTGTATACCATCTTCTCACCTCACCTGTGGGCATTACGTCTGCATATTCACCTCTTTGGAAGATGAAATATCTGATCCCAAACTGCAATCGATAATCGGGAAATGAGAGACGGGCAAGAGAGCTCGAAATGAGTGTGGCATAAGAGAGCACGTACATCCTGTCAGTAAACAATTGCATGTCAGTATCTTTTATAAGGTCAGAGAGCAGCAATAAACGCTGATGGTGTCTGTGATTACTGGTGTTCTTAGAAGAGGAGGAAATACGCTCAATGGTTACCCTCGGACAGCCAGTTTCATAATGTCTTGAGAATTTTGTTTCATAGTGAGGCGAGACGAGTTAAAGAATACACTGGGGTAGTAAAGTAGTACATAGACAGTTAAGTGGAAGCTTCACTGAAGATGTTTGTTTAACAGTGGGTTTTATCACGTTTACAAACATGTTTGGGTTTTACACAAACAACGCGCACAAAGAAGAGGAGATTACGACGACGTTTCGGTTCGACTTGGACCATTTACAAAGTTTGTAAATGGTCCAAGTAAGACCGAAACGTCGTCGTAATCCTCTATGTGGGGGTTGTTTGTGTATTGTTCCAGTCATGGTATTTTGCCTTTTTTTGTGTTTGGGTTTTGATCAGGCCCACTGTGTAGGCGAAACGTCGTCATTAAAGGATGCCCTATAAATACATTTATGCAGAACAACCACTGTGAAAAAGTAGTGAAATTCCAAGCTCTTTCGTTCTCACATTATCGAGGAATTGTGAAAAAGCATTGAAATCATAAGCGTTTTCATGATTCCTCACATTATCATCAAGTTACACGAGCATGCGAGAAATCACGAAAGCGCTTGGAATTTCACTATTTTGTGTCAGTGGTACTTCTGCATATTGTGATATCACCCGTTTGCTGTGATCTTACTGCAACAAATAAACTTGTATATCTCTATCAATGTGTGTGTATTATACATCCTGCTTCTCTATTCGTGCCTCAGACACCGAGATAATATACGACAGTGTATTAATCTAGATAGAAGCAGAAAGCTCTCCAAAGCAGACGGCCTCGATGTGGACTCTGAAGTTTTCTTCTGTCTGTTTTTCCCCATATATTCCCACATGTATCTCACACCATCCTGTGGGTATCTCACACCATCCTGTGGGTATCTCACACCATCCTGTGGGTATCTCATACCATCTAGTATCTCATAACATCCTGTGACTAGTTCATACCAATACCTAACCAATGAAATTAAGTGCTGAAGAGAAAGTAATTTATGCACAAAAGGGACGAATGAAAGAGGTTGTGAAATTTTAACTTTTTTGCTAAAGTCAAACAACGATAAATTCGACACTTTGGCAACATTTAGGTATATTTATTTCGAAAACGTTTCGTCACTGGTTGACGAAACGTCTTCATAATAAAGATGCCCAGATGTTGCACATACGTCTAGTACATCAACTCATCGGTATTATAATTTATTCTTCAAGTTTCAGTAACAAGTTTGTGAATTAATTTTTTTTTTTACATTTTTCCTTATCAGAGATTAGCACAAGTTTAAGCTGAACTGTTAATTGAAAGTTCCCTTAAATACTAGCACCAGGTTCGCTTATTTCAAGAAGACAGAGATAAGTCTTCTTTTAAAGACGAAGACGATTTACAGCTGAAAGAATTAAGTTAGTAATCCCTCGAAGGGTTATTATTAATCGATAATGATTAATATCATTAGCCCCCCTAAAGGACTGAGATTCGTAACCGCTCTTTCCCCTGAGGGTTTAATAACCCAGGAAACCTCAGCAGAGCCAAGCAGTGTAGTTAATTTACATTGGGCTGCTTAGGCTATCCCCCAGGATGCGATCCACTTCAGTCGACTATTGCTAGGTGAACATCGGCAGCAGATGTTGGAAGCCAACGAGTCCCGCCTCGCCCAAGATTGAACCTACGTCATGCTGTTGTGAGGTGCGACTAGGACGTGTGATAGATCCCTCTATAAACTTAAGAAAAACATGTAGATTTACGTCAAGTCAGTTGCTAGCTGTAAATTACGTTTAACAGGCTATGAATTTAGAATAGGAATCAATAACAAAGTAAGAAAGATCCTTGTCGCAGCTACATAATGTACTAGACATGTACACTATACCAGTGACATCTGTGCGCCTTCAGAACCGTTCTAAATATTTTAACTGTTTACAAAATCATTTGTAGATTATCCTAAATAAAAAAAAAAACTAATGCAGAGGTAAATAAATCTGTAATTTATTTAAGTTTAAATGAACTCGGAGATTTTTAACTGGTTGTAAGAACAATATACTATGAACATATTCTGAAGAGTAGATGTTTCTGCATGTGTATACACAGACAAGCAGTGAAAATACAAAGGTGTATATATATTATCAGAATATATACACCTCTGTTTTAAGGATTACAGTATGCTTGACTGGTGATGTACAGGTGACATTTGGCTTTAATGACCACCGTGTAGCGGATTGGCTTCAAACCTAATAAACCAAGATAAAAAATCTGTACGAGTAAGGTCAAACCACAGGTGTAGACTCGTTGATGACAGAGGCAGAGGTCAACGTTTACATGAAGGTCATCACAAACGACTTATGATTCCAGCTCAGTTACACTACCATAACAGACGCCTGACACTAATTCCCGTCTATAAATCAAACCCTGGACAGGTTAACGACGACGGATCACAGGTAAAGGTCACCAAATATTCACGCAAAGAGAAAAAGGTTCAGGTAAAGGTCACCAATAATTCACGCAAAGAGAAAAAAGGTCAAGCCTGCTTGCATCATCTCCAGGCCAGGGGTCGAAGGTTAGGCAGTGTAGTTGGTATGATGATAAACCATCTCAGGTGAAATACGTGAGGACAGGCCAGACTCTTGTGGCGAAGGATAATATGGCAGATTCTGAGTCATATTTCTTCACTATAATAAACAAACGTATCACCAGGAAGGACTTTAATGTGTTTTTTCTAAGGACTGGGGAGCGGGCGGGGCTTGCCATGTGGGCGGGACTACCTGAGCTCTGAACCACAGATGCCAGCAGCAACTTATTTCCAGTTTATATATTCAATAATCTAACAGTCTTCTTCGTCTGTGTCAGCAACGAGGAAACAAGAAATTTAAATTTTGATGATAGAATGTATTTTTCTATGGTTAATGGCAAGAAATAAAGGTTAGAATAAATATGAGTTTGGAGATGAGGGGAAAAATCATGTGCTGGCATCGCAGGCGCTGGCGAGGGGATGCTTAACAGATTTAACCTGTTGCATTGTCCTTACTGCCTCATACTCTCATCAACCAGCCACGGAGTGACCAGTGGCTCGTCCCCAGCCGTCAGACAAGGTAAAGTCACCACACACAAGCTTAAACAAAAGTATCTCAGTGGTTCTCACACTACACATGTACACTAACACGTTGACTGACAAGTGTAAGACTCTCTTCATTAGTGCACTTCTCAGCTTCGATTTTTTTAGATAATTACAAAGCATACTCAAACGCATGTTCAATTAAACGAGAAAATCTTTTACAAAATTATTTTAAGCAGATTGTGAAGTATTGTTCGGAAAATAATTCTTATGTTAGATAATTCTGAACGTACGCAGACGTATTGGCAAGTAACTCAGTTCTATAATATAATTAAAAAAAAAAGACGACGTAAGGTTAAGAAAATCATTTAAACGTCAAACGGAAATCGGAACACAAAAGAATTTCAAGTTGTGGTTTGAATATATCTACGAAGCTCAGTGTTATCTCATGTAAGTGAAGTGGTTTTAGAAGGAGGATGATCTTGTGAATACTAGCAACGTAGAAGCTTGTACGACTGGCCACGTTTTAGGAAATAAAACATACATTAGTGTAATTTTTAGAGATTCGTTTTGAAGAGTCATAACGAGGGATCATCACACAAGGTGCCGTATACTCTGTATAATTATATATATATTATATATTATATATATACACACACATGGTATATATATATACAACACTACGACTAGCCGAGGATTCGAACCCATGTCGTTGTGGCCCATCTCATGGTGAGCGAAAATCACACATGAAAATTACACAGGACCATGCAATCCTAGGACTGCATGGTCCCGTGTGTGATTTTCGCTCACCATGAGGTGGACCAAAACATGGGTTCGAATCCTCGGTTAATCGCAGTGTTGTTATTGATTAATGCCACTCGTTCGTGGTTACAATACTAATATATATATATAATTATACACTATGAATAGTCCACGTGTGCTGTCACCTGTGATATTTATGCTAATTGTGTATTATACATGTGTAACGAGTCTTATATCACATGTAGGATTTATACTATGTGCCACATCAATTGAGTATAGCACCTGCGTGGAGCCCTCACCTGATAATGTTAAAAAAAAATGGAAAAATATCAAAAGTATGCATCAAGACTAGTCCCAAAGCTAAGGGAAATGAGCTATGAGGAGATATTATTGTAACTTTACCTAGCTATACTGCAAGATAGAAGAACCAACAAGGGAGACATGATAACATACAAAGTATTCAGGGGACTAGATGGAGTGGTCTCAGACTTGTTCAAGAGGCGAGGAACAGGTTCACGAGGGCACAGCTGGAAATTAAAGTCGCACTGTTCACTAGGACGTCAGGAAATATTTATTCACTCATAATTTTAAGGATAGGCATGACAGGGCTTACCAGGCTAGTAGTAAATTTATCAAGGGGTAATTTAAGAAGCGGAAACAGAAGCGTACACACTCAAACACACATACAAAGACAGAGAACAACGATATATAGATGAAAGCTTAAAAAACGTAGCCACAGGGATGTTAGGAAATACTTTTTTAGTTTTAGGGCAATGGGTAGTAGGAAAATGGCATGTAATGAATGTGGAAATAATGAAGACAGAGTTCACAAGCAGCTTTAAGAGAAACAATAAATTTAAGAAGACCAGAAACTATTAGTTAACAGGTAAATAGTACTGATAAGTATGGTACAGAGTGAATTTGTAAAGCAAGTCTTAATTCTAGCAACGTTTCTCCCAGGATTGAGAAAAACGTCACCGGAATGAAGCTTTGCTTTATAAACTGTCTTTACCAGGCCAGGAACCTGAGAAACTAAGTGAACAAGACACATGAGGTTTATGGCCTTTATTATGAAGACGTTTCTTCTACCAGGGACTTTACCAATGAAAAGTTCTAGTGGGCGAGACGTCTTCTGAATAAATGCTATAAACAGCAAAGTGTTTCTTATTCACAGAGAAGAGTGATCAAAAAAGCGTCCTTACAAGGACCCAGACTTTTTGAAGTACGATAAAGACTTACCTGTTGAGAGAGTAATCTTGTATCTTTCTTTGATTAAATTCTTTTTAAGGAGAATTAATACGTGAGAGACAGGGTAAAACCTATATGCATACTTGAATATGTGGCAAGGATGGTCGGATAAGTGGCTACTCGAATTCACCTCTAGCTCAGGCAAGGTCTTGGTAACTGGGGGAAGAAGAAAGACTGAGAAAAGAATAAGAACTGTGGGAACAGAAGCTGTAAACCTCACACAAGATTCTTGGTTAAGCACAGTGCAAAGCAAACACTGGCGTACACACAATTTGAGGACACAAGAAGGGCAGTCAGGAAATTTAAAAAAAAGCAATTTACGAGCATGTGTAATGAAAGTTAGATTTATTAGAGGATGCAGCACCGACCATGGATCCAAAACCCGTTCAAGGATATCCAGAAACTAGAGTACGTCTCGAGGAACACAGTAAGACCTATCTGGAACTGAAAAAAAATACCTATATAGGAAGATTTAAATAACAAGACTGTAATGAATGACAGGGGTTTCATGGAAGACATGACCACGACGTAATAGATCCTAAGTAAACGTGATAGGACAAAGATGATTGTGTGGAAAGTCGTGAAGTGTGGACGTGGGTACACTGGTAGACGTTAAAGATGAAGACAAGTCCAAGAGAAATAAGAAAGTACTTTCTCAACTTTGGAGTAATTAGAAGGTTTAGCGACCTGAATGAGAGAGAAGTGGAGGAAGGTTTCATGCCGTGTTTTTACGAGAAAGAATGGCAGGGCCTCGGAGACCACGAATTTAGTGAGACCGTTCGTAGAGAATTAACTAACGTAGCAAGGAGCAGGGACTAATATATGTACAATAATCCCCCAAAAATTGTACTCTCAGATATTTTTCTCTTTCAAGTTCATTTAAGGCACAAATTTAAGGTATTTAGCTACAAAACTTTGAGAATAGAAAGTAATGAAATGTGTGTTCAGTGTGGAGTTATGAGATGGTTTATGAAATGCTACAAATTAAACAATTGTCGTAGAACTATACTATCATACTGGTAAGTCGTACTATCGCCTGAAAGTCCCGCGAAAGATGATTTGGGCATTAGTAGTCTGTCATAACCCTTGGGCTAGGTGAGGGTTGTGAGATAATAATAATATATATAAATATATATATATAATATATATATATATATATATATATATATATATATATATATATATATATATATATATATATATATATATATATATATATATATATATATATATTTATATATATATACAATATATTAAATTCGGTGGTACATTGGTTAACGCACTTGCCTTATGCTTTGCGTCATCCGGAACGTAAAATAAGTCACGTTTGTCCCCATCTTCATCTGCCAGGACTGTCAACTTAGTATATAATCAATTTATACAACTATTAATTTATAATCTGTTCGGAGTAGTCCTTTGCTTATCTTATCGTATTCAAGAGTTGACCCTTGCGAGTGGCAGTATAGTGAAGGGCTTAACAAGGGGAGGCAAGTAGTGTTCCTTACAAGGTAAAACTCTTAAGAGGCCCTCCACTGTGTCACTGTCTGCACGCCATTCTCAAGTTCTGCCTCATCTTCACTATCCCTCATCCTAACTCTGTCATCACGGGTCCTGTCCCACGTCTCTGTCTCGCATCCTAGCTTTATGATCAAGGGTTCTATCCTTTCCTCTCAATGACTCGGCCTATGTGACTATAGCTTACAGTTTTTTTCTGTTGTATTTAATAGCTGCTTTCCAAATAGCTGAAATTGTTTATTACAGCAAAAGATTGTATTCAATTCCGGGACCAAATAAAAAAAAAAGACAAGTTGCAGAACTGGCTTTTACTGGGAGCACATGTCTATGTCGGGCTTTGTCAGGTCATAAGAGGTTGCAGCTAACACGCATGTAAAGGTGGAATTATATATATACTAACTGTAACCACTGTACGACTTGATGGTTACTAACATACTGTACCACCAGAATGATAGAACTGCAGTAGTTCCCTGGATATTTGCTGTCTCTTAACTTGCTACCAAGATGACAGGACTGTAGCAACTTTCTGGATAGCTGCTGTCTCCCAACCATCACAGTTAGAGTTAAAAGACAAATAAGAGATAATGAAAGCAGTCAGGGTTCATGTCTAAACCTATAATCATGAAGACACAGGAATGACTGTGCTTCATCTACCATTTTTTTATTAATTTGAACCCGTATCATTACGACGAATAACGTAACATTAGCGACAACGTAAAACAGTCGCCAGTGATGATGACTGTTGGGTGAAAGACTAGGTGCAGTTTTTTTTATGTAATTCTTTCGACACAACATCAAGTGATGGAACAAAAATATGTAAATATTGCCAGTTAAAGTCAGTATTTTAATGAAAGTTTTTGGATAATCTTTCTCCGTCTCTCTAAATATTTCACCAGGTGATTCCTTATTATATTACCGATGAGTCTGCATCACTTTATAGCTGTAAATAGGACTCTACGGGTTTAGTGCTTCAACATCATAATACTTGTGACATTATGATACCATATTTGTTTGATATAATTTAAGAAAGTGTTAAACCTGAGGGTGTCTTATGGTACATGCTAACAATCAGAAAAAAATTCCAATACCTTGGTATCGTGAAGGCAGAGAATTTCTGCATATATTTTGATGAGTATATATAGTCCTATGTGGACATACGCAACAGCGTATGTTCGCAACGAGGGGTGTATATCTCAGCATGTATACTCTTCGAGTTTACTTTAATCTCTGTCTTTTAGAGATAAAAGGTTTTCTGACTTACTTTACAGTTGACCTTAGTTTAAAACCTGTCGACCTTCGTGTGCTCTACAGGTTTCTAACTAATAAACCAAACGGTCAGAAAATTCGCAAAGAGAAAGGGGAATGCGAGGTAAACCAGGTTTGATTCAAAGACTTATTAAATATTTATTCCTTGGATCAAGAGCCCTTTACCGGCATCAAGGAACCTCTTCCAGCCTTCTAAGAAGCAATGGTGAATAAGTCTACGGTGTCATCCCACCACGTTTAACATTC